GGGGCCGGAATGATTCTAGTTCGCAATGTTATTCCTTCGGTCTGCGTGAAAAAAAAAGCTTTTACAAGAATATACCCCAGCACCCCAGTCTAATTGTTCAGGCTCCTGTAGTCTATGGGTTTCGGGTTTAAGGTTTAGGCTTCAGGGCTTGAGGTTTCACGGTTTAGGGTTTACGGTTTAGGGTTCAAGCTTAAGGTTTTAGGGTTTAGGCTGCAGGATTTGGGGTTTTTGTTTTACGGTTTAGGAGCTACAAGGATATTGCATAAGGTCCGGTAGGGATTTCTAAGCATTCTGCAGGAGATTGAGGTCAGAGGTTCAAGTGGCTTCAGTGGTTTTCGAGATCCCTACACCCTGAATCCTAAATCATAAACCCTTTAACCCATGAGGGCTCATAGGGCCACCGACCCTAAACCCTAAACCCCACGCCCTAATCCCTAGACCCGAAACCCCAGGCGCTAAATCCTAAGCCCTCTTTTTTTAATGCCCAAACCTCCAAACCTACACCCTAAACCCCTAAACCCTGGTTCTGAACCCGCGTGGAAGTCTCCGGCCCGTGATGCTTCGGAGCCTTTCAACCCTACCCCCTTGGTTTGGGGGTTTGAAGAACTACCAATCGTATTGTGGGGGGTTCCTGATGATAGTTGAAGTATAATGGGCCCCAAAACCCTATTCTAATCGTTAGGGCCGCTATATTAGGGGCTTAGGTCTTGGGGCCTAGAGTTTACTGGGCCGCTGTTGACGAACTTCCCAGGGCTTCAGGGGTTTAGGGCTTAGGGCTTTAAGGTTAAACTGGGTTGCTGTGAAGGACCTTTAAGTTAAGTTACCGGAGTATGGGGTTCCTTTAAGGGTTCCTATAAGGTTTAGGGTTTAAGGAACATAAATTACAGTAGGTTATGATAATAAGGAAACCCTGTTATGTGCTATGTGTCCACATTCTGGTAACTCAAAGTAAGTAAGTTCTTGAACAGCAACCCAGTCAACCCAGAACCAGGCTTCACCAGGGACCCCAAGCCCTACGAACTAGTGAGTTATGCCCAGTTTGTGGCAACACCTTACAGACCCTAAACCCTAAACCCTAAACCGTCTGTAGAATTAGGATTTAGGGCTTCGGGCCGGGTGTTTGTCACCCTCAACCCCGGATTTTTGAAACCGAGGCCACAAACCCCGAAGTCTGGATCTTTGTTTTGCGCCCTAATGTAGGGGCCTAAATAATTACTTGTACTATTTTGGGGGTTCCGTATTATAATTACAGTGTATTACACCCCAAAACCCTATTCTTATTGTTAAGGCCCCTGTATTAAGCCGAAACCCCGAACGGCTGTAAGCCCCAACTAAATATACCAAGGTGTGGAGTACGCTGCAGAGTCTGGCCGGTGCGAAATTTGGCTTCGCGAGGCTTGCGATTTCCCCAGCCATGAGATTTAGGATTCCCCAACAGGGAGCCCAATGCCCCTTGACTCAATTTTGCCTCAGCCTATACTCTAAACCCTAAACCCTACAAAGAGATCAGTCTGCTCTCGCTACGGTTGAGGTCTCCGGGTCCAGTAATGGCGGATTTCTAGCTGAAGAAAACCTACCCTGGCCGCCCAGACCTCGGGATTTTCAAACTTATGGTGCTGGTCAAAATCTACATGGGAGTTTCCGAAAATTAGGGGTACCTTGTTTTGGGGTCCTCATATGAAGGATCCACCTATTTGGGGTACTACATTTGGGCCCCCTATTTTTGTACAAAAATGTGCGACTTCAGAAGGGCGCCCAAAGTGGAGCGAAGTGCCTCAACCGAAAGAAGTAAACCCTAAACACCCCTAGCCTTGAGCCCTCAACCCCACCAGGGGCAGCGAATGCCAGGTCCTCAAGTTTCGAAGTCAAGGAATTTGGAGGATTTAGTCATGGATGTTCAGGGCCCTCACCAGCAACCTGAAACCCTAGGGCCCGAAAGCTCAGAACCCTTCCAAAAACCTGCAGCGGAGACTATGCGTTTGGACTTGCAAAGCCTAGGACACCTTGCTGTCTGCTGTGATTCTGGATCCATCATATGGCTAAATACGAAGGCCTGAATCCTAAACCCTATAGTTATGCTTGCTGTAGGTGAACCAAAGTATGCGACCCTCTTGAAGGAAAGAGTCTTCTGCGCTTCTTCAAAGTTTTTTCAACGCTTCGTAAACCGTGGAGTACTCATAGGATACACTGGTTGAGATTCTTTCCCCTAAACCCTAAACCCTAAACCTTAAACCCTAAACCCTAAATCTCGAACTCCTGTCAACACTATCCGAACACCGCGTGATGCTGTCAAGGCCCTCGAAAACTAGCACTTCAATCCTGAAGCATTTACCCCCAAACCCATCTACAAAAAGATGCCTAAACCTTGAATCCCAAACCCTAAGCCTTAAACCCCAAACCCTAAACCCGAAGCCCTAAGCCCCAAGCCCTAAATCCTAAACCCTATTTAAACCCCAACCCTAGGCCCCGAACCCTGTAGGACTTCTGAGTTCTGAGGCCTCAAACACTCA